GGGGGAGGGAAGGGAAAGCAGAGGGGTGCCTTTGGTCATCCTTCAGTCTCCCTTCCCTCACTCACCTCCTTGAACTCCTGAATCTGAGTCTGGTCGAACATGGAGAAGACGTTGGAGCTTCCCTCTGCTGCCCTTCTCTTGGCCTTCTTGGGTGCCTGGAGGATGAGGGTTGGGCGAAGGGGTCCATGGGCTAGTCCCTGCCTCACTCTGGGCACAGTGGATTAGATTCAGGGCTCCTGGAGTTCTTGTTAAGCAACTCTTCTGACTCCAGGCCTCCCTCTCCTAGGGACCTCTTTGCTAAGGGAGTTTACTTCAGTTGCATCCTGCAAACTCCCATCTGGGCCCTTGGATGGTGATCCCTCCATTCTACAATCAATGGATTGTAGAACTTCAATGGAACTTCAATGGAGGTTTCCTTCCTTTCTCAGTGCTCTGAGCCTGTTTCTTCTGAGCTCCAGACTCAGAGGACCCTGATCTGTTCATTCATCTTGTCAGATCCTCTCATTCATATCATGGGAATGGGAATCTTTGGCTGATCCCAGAGGGTCTTAGGAAGATGCGGTGCAGGAAAGGATGGAGCAAGCTTTGAGAGGGGCTGGACCCTGTGAGTGGGGTGTCTGGACAGATTTTCCTTGGCTGGGTCCTTTAGGCCTTCACTCTGCCTGTCTGCTCCCCATTAGTGATACCAAGATAGGAAGAAATCTCTTTTCTTCTTGCTGGACTGGGAACCAGGTGTTGTCTCTCAAAGGGTATGAGTGCTGTGAGGTCTGAAGGATCTTGGGCAGGGGCTGGAGAATTCTCACTCACCATGTTTTTGGTCTCCTGGGGACAAGGCAGTGCCTCAGGCTGGAAAGGAGCTGCGAGTCAGTCTGGGCCGGTCCCTCTGGGGTTATATAGTCCTGCCCCAGGGATCCCTTAACATACCGAAGTAACCTTAGCCTTTCGGGTGCCCACCCCAGATACCAAAATAGCCCAGCTCAGGGCCTATCCTTTCTTGGAGGGCCCGCAGCAGCTGGAGCCCGGGGAGGGAGGAGGGAGGTCTTGGGACGTCTGTCTCACTAGGACCTGAGCAGGAGGGATGTTCTTTCTCCCAAATGGGGCTGTAATGTGACAGGGTTCCAGAGGGGACTCAGGCATTGGCATAATTCCGGAAGAGTGATGGACCAGGCCCCCCCTGCAGCCCTGAGTTGTGTGGGCCCAGATTGAAACCCAATAAACATTTATTGAGCACCTAGACTGTCAAGTGCTGGGCTAGGCTTTGTGGGTGTACTTCAGAAAAAAACCTCTCCCCCATCATGGAGGTCACAGTGGAGTGTGTATATGTGTGTGGGTGGTGGGGGTGATGACAGAGCTTAGAAGTGGGAGAGAGAGGCTTGCGGAAGCTTGGGGTTTGGGGAAGGCTCCTACATCTTCCAGGACAGGGGTTTTGTGGGGAAAGATGCAGATCATGGAATCAGTAGGTATGAAGAGACTAGACAGCTTAGAGGCAGAGGGACTGCTCTATGGTCTTTGGCATTGTGCTTCAACTCCCTACAAAGTGGGGATGTAATTCCCATCCCACAACATTGTGGATGTGAACACTTGTGGGAAACAGTTTAGTGAACTATAATTATTATAATTAATAATTAGTCCCTACCCTGGTGAAACTTACCATCTAGCTATGTTGTTGTTGTTGTTTGCTGTCAAGGGGACCTCCACAGTATGGAGGTGACTGGAGCCCAGAAGAATGGAGGGTGGCTCCTGCCTGGAATGGAGAGAGAGAAGCCACTGGCCATCCCAGCCACCCAGAAGGTGGTAATCAGCTAGCTTTCCTCTTGGTGTCTTCGCCTCTCCTACGCTGAGTTTCAGCCTCCACACCAGTATCCAGATAAATGATTCTAGGCTCGCATCCAAGCAGGTCCTTCTCCTGCTTCAGACCTTTCCAAGACTCTCCAAGGTCCCAGCCCTCAGCCTGGCATTCAAGGCCCTCCGATGTCTGTTCTCCAGCCCCTTGATATCCTTTGCTCTAGCCCCCATCAAAAAATGGCAACCTGAACACCTCTGATCTTACACTTCTCTGGGCCTTTACCCATGCTGTACCCCCAGCTTGGTGTGCCCACCCATCTCCCCCTCAGGGGAGATAGTGCCTGAGGAAGCCTGGACAGCCCAGAGTTGGCAAGGATACTCATCTCTTTTTCCCTCTAGGACCTGGTGTCCTGAGGAAGTTGCCTTTTCTCCTCCCCCCTCCTCCAGCCTCATGCCAATGCCTCTAAGACATTTTCTTTTCTGGGCACTGGGGCCTGGCCACCTGTTGTCTCTAAGAAGAGAGAAGGAACCACCTAAACTTAGCAGCCACCCTTGGCCCACACTGGCCCTCTCCCTTTGATCTGCAGCTGCTTTTCCTTATATAGCTACCATGGGGGTCCAGGCCCAGGGAGGAGCCCACTTATTACTGGGAGGGGAGGGAGACCCCGAAGAGAGGAATGGGGAGAAGCCCAGGAAGCTTGAGCCAAGTAGAAAATGGGGAGGTGGACGTGATGGAGGTCAGGAATGGTGTATCTCAGGTACCGAGTGGGGGTTCACAGGATTTGGGTCTGAACAGGGAAGTGCCTCACAGAACTCAGAAGCCAGCGAGCAACTGGCAAGTTGGGAGTTATGTTTCAGAGGTAGACTGCAACTGCAGAATTGTGGACTCTCTGTGGAAATTGGGGTCCTCTAACCTGGAGTCTGGTGGCACAGTGGTTAAAGCATTCAGGTGCGAACCAAAAGTTCAGCAGTTCAAACCCACCAGCCCCTCTGTGAGAAGCATGAGGTAATTTGCTTCTGTAAAGATTTACAGCCTTGGAAACCTTGTTGTTATGTATCCTTGATTTCCCACCCCCCACCCCCACTCGTAGCGGAAGTAGATTGCCTCATCTTCCTTCTGAGGAGTGGCTGGTGGGTTTGAACCGCCAGCCTTCTGGTTAGCTATCAAGTGCCTTAGGCACTATGCTACCAGAGCTCCCTGGAAGCCCTGTAGGGTGGTTCTATTCATAGGGTCACTATGAGTTGGAAACTACTGGATGGTAGTGTTTTTTTTTTTTTTTTTCCTTATTTTTGTAACCCTGGGGCCCAGAGAAGGGGGATAGTGTTTAGGAGCTGGAATGTTAGGTTTAGGTGAGGATTTTGTTTGTGAACTAGGACAGCCTGAGGGGCTTGTGAGATTGGCGTCTGGGTTCTTGGCAGGAAATGAGGAGTACAGAGATGTGGCACTGGGGGGAGGAGCTGATGGGACTGGAGTCCTGGATCTTGGAGAAAAAAAGAAAAAGGAACACAGATATGAGTTCATGGTATTGGGGATTAATGAATTTGGGGTAGGGGATCCCTATGAAAATGAGGCAGGACTCAGTGATGAGGTCTAATGGATGGAGCCCGAAGAGAGGGATTTGGGATTCCTGCAAGAAATGAGGGGTCCAGAGAAATCGGTCGTTTAGAGGATTTGGGGTCTGCAGTTATAGTCTCCTGGGGTTGGAGTGTTGGGATTGGATGGGGGCCAGGCTTGGAGAATTACAGACAGCGTGAAGGCGGACAGTACTGCATCAGGCTTCAGAGCACTTTTTCTCCCCCCCCCCCCTTTAGTGTTCCCTCCTGTCCCCTCCCACCCCTGGTAACTAACAACGAACGTTTCCTTCCACATATAAACCTCTCCTTGACCTTTTACAATGATGAACTAACACAGTATCTGTCCTGTCAGAGCACATACTCTGTATCGCAGCTTAGTGTTCTAGAGACCACAGGAGTGCAGGGCCTCAGCAACTATCTGGGGAAAGTTGGGCCACAGAAGACTCAGAAGGGGAAGCGCGGCACTCTTATTGGCTAAGGCTACGCTAATCCCCCTGGCCCTCACACCCTCTCCGCGCTGTCCCCAACTGTTACCCCCTTTTGCGCTTGTCGCCGGCTGTTACTGACTATCCTAGAGCTGGCACCGCCTGCTGGCAGCACCCTTGCCATTTCGATGCTGCCATTGGCTAAGACAGTTCCCTCCTCTGTTGCTGAAGTGGGAGAACGAGATCATTGGCTGACGAGGCAAATCAATCACAATCTTGGTCCGCCCCCCAGCTGTCATTCCGTCCTGACCATTTTGGGAGACCTAAAGAATTCCTCAGTTCTTCCTATTGACTGCAGATGCTGTCTGTCACCGCCCAACTAGACAATTTTTTTCCCTCCGCCTACTCCTCTTTTCATTGGCTCCCTTCGTACAGTTCCTATCAGCCCGGGGATTCATAGGCTCCGCCTCCTATTCGAGCAGTGCCACCTTCCTCCCTACCCTTCCGCCGTCATTCACTCTTTAGACATCTTTATTGGCTAAGAGGTCCGGGTTCGTGCTTTTCTATTAGATACCGCTTTCGTTCCGCCTTCTTCTTTCTCCTCTCGTTCTCTGATTGGCTTTATCGCCCTCCGCCCTCTCCGTTTCCTTTTTCCAGATTACCCACCCTCTTCCCACCGCCAACCCCACCCACCCTTCCAGCGATTGGCAGAAACCCAGTTCCCTTTCTCCTATTATTCGTCCAAACTCTCTGATGAGGCGGGAGAAAAAAAGGAGCGCGAGGGGACCGTGGCGCGCAGGCGTGAAACGTCTGCATGCTGGCCGCTTGAGTCCGGCACCCGGACGTGTGCGCAGGCGCTAGGTCGGCAGCTCTTCCGAAG